TATGCTTCTTTTTTATACTAACATAAACTGAATCATAAAGGGGCATGAAATGAAAGCATCTACATTCTCAACCTGTTATAAAAATCTTATTTGAACATATTGGTACCAAACTAAGAAAGGAGTCATTTATTTAGTAGAAACTCAGAAATGTATTAAAATGGAAACAAATTAGATGGGAACAAAGAATGCATTTAAATACAATTCTTCTGTTAACAAAAATTTGCGAATTCAATTTTCATTAGAAAATGGTAGCACACCTCAGAAAACAGCTTTACAGCAGCCCTGATTAAACAAAGATTTGATATTCCTTAGTTTTCTGGACTCTGTTTTGCTGTACCCTTTACAGATTTATGCATTTGTACAAAGATTTATATTTCTATGTGAAAGAAATACCACTATTCTTTGGTAGAACCATTTTTAATTTATTATTAACAATTTAATTATTTTAGAACCAATTATTGTTGCTTCTGTGTCTATTTACCATGTCTTAGGCTGTCATTTTACCAGCTGTTCTATCTGTTGTACTTCTCCTATTGGTGTATAAACAAAATGCAGAAATGGTGGAAAAGTGATTATTCAAAATTATTCATAATCTATTTTTTTTGTAAATTAATTATAAAATATATTTTCAGATGGATGTCTGTTCATCCAAGTCTAAACACTTCTTTGAACATTACATAAGAAATCTAAGTGAATTTATATGTTATAATAATTGCAATGCATTGCAACCACTTCAAAACTACTTAGTGTAAATTCCACTTAGATAAATTTATAAATACTTCTATCTTCATTGATAGTAGAAAAAACGAACTTTTAAGTGTCTAGAGTGTTTCTTACATCTATTGCAGCTTCCAGTATTTTTCTAGTACAAAATATAAAGGTGCAGTACTGCTTTTAAAAGAAAACAAGAGCATTTATTTTGAGTGGGATTATGACCTTTTAGCAATTTCCTCATTGCTTTGCTAGTTTAGGTTTTTTTTTCTTTTGAGCTGTGTAACCTGGGAATTATTTTAGTGTATTCTGTAATGAAACCACCATGTCAACCATTCTCTATTTAGCCATTCCACAAAGTTGAGTTCTGATTCTTCTGTCATTTGTACATGGAGATAATCCCTGATATGGTCATATGTGCTTGCATTTACACAAAAGACAATCTAAGTAACCAAAAATCTTGTTGCTAAGTTCAAAATACTTGTGAGCAATAAATCAAGCATGTTAAAAGTTTCATCTAGTTTTCATTCATTTCTTTTTTTCATCTATTTGAACTAATAATCTGACTCGACTCTGCAGATATTTAAATAACAAATAGTATTTTTAGAATTTCATTACAGTGCTGATACATGGTACATTCATTTGTAGGTTTCCAATTCCAAATATTACTAATTAAACAGGGTCTTACGTACAGGCTGTATTTAAAAAACAAACACAAGTCTGATCAGTTTTCCAGTCTGCCCAAGGTGCTTTAACAAGTTTCTGAGAGAATAGCTGCATTTGTCATCTATTAATTTTGTCTTTTCATCTGTTATATAGTTAGAAAAATGTGTATATAAAACATCCAGCCGTTTGGAAAACGATGTTATTTAAATATAAGCTGTATGTTTTACATCTGAGTTAATGTATTTTTATCTTATCTCACATCATTGCCTGTGAAAAAGCTCCCCAGAGATGAGTTCAAAGTTATACTGCTTGTTTCCCCTGCCTCACCATCTGTGGCAAAGGGCATAGATAAAGTTTGTTCCCTTTACAAGAACTGAGTTCTGTAATTCTGTTATAAGACCAAGACCAAGAGTGGGACTCCCTCACATGCCCAGTTTCAGTAGCAGCTGGAAGTTTGTCCATCCGTAAGCATCACTCTGGAGTTCCAGCTGTGGGATGATACTGGACAGACTTAAAATTTCCACAGCATTTCTGTCCATGGAAAGCATTCTCAATCCTGCCATTCCATGTGACACGTAAAGGGGAAGATCTAGAATGTTTCAGCCAACACTAATATGTAGCCTAAGTGGCACTGACAAATCTTACACTGAAATAATCACAAAAGTTTATTGAATCCTTCATTTTTCTAAAGATTTATAAGAGTTAACTTTGCAGTAACGAAGTGTGTGGGTATTAATATCACTTCATGCAATGACCAGAGAGATTGTGGATGTTTTAGGCATTTAAATCCATGACGCTGAAGGAAGAGAAGGCAGTGATCCCAGCGGTAAGTAATGTGCCAGCTAATGGAAATCTCTGCTCCACACAAAGAAATGGAATTACTCAGTCCCAGTCCCTGCCTACAGAATCATCCCTACTGTTGATACAAGAAGAGCTGTTTACTGCAGGTGAGGTTTTTTTTTTCTTCATACATTAAAACAAAAGGAAAAAAATCAAAGTAGAACTCACAGAATTTGGATATTCAGAATAAAGTACTTGGAGAATTGTCCTGCTTCACAAACACTCCTGATAACCATACACCGGCCTGACTTTGAATGTTGACACCCTGTAGCTGTGCAACACAAAGTTAGGTATTTCAGTGTAGGGCCATTGTCCAGAGCCTGTCCACTTACGTGCTTGCACCACTTCCACGCGTAGCTACCAGCTTTATATACTTCTTCACGCAGCTTTATATACTTCTTCATGTCGACTCCGTACTGGAAACGCGGATCTCACTCTGACTAGAAGTTTCCTGTGGGGCCCCGGAGCTAAGTTGCCTCTCCTGGGCCTCCTCACACTACCGCAGGCGGGAAGGTGAATCCCGCTGGATTCCCAGCGCTTCGGGGCAGGAGCGCGTCCCCGCCTCCCTCTCCCGCCG